TGCATGAAGATACAGCATTTCATTTGAATTGTCTTTGTGAGCAGGAAGTGAGGTGGCAAGATCTCGGAACAAAAAAACATTTGATCAAAAAGCCCATGAACGCCTTCTTGTTATGGTCAAAGATCCACCGACCCACCTTGTCTAAGGCCAACCCTAATGTCAGCAACTGCACCATCAGTGTTCAGCTGGGGTTAGAATGGCACAAACTGTCTGAAGAGCAGAATAAGCCATACTACAAAGAAGTCAGCAGAATCATGGCAGAGCACATGGAGAAGTACCCAGGTAAGCTATATGAGAAAGATTCGAAGACATTAGAGGACATAATGTAAAATCTCAGAGTTGAAAGTTAGTAGTCATTTTTTTCAACACATCTTATTCTCATCTTTCTGCATAAACACAGATTGGCTCTATCAGCCACGCAATGTGAAAAAGAAGTATTTAGCATCAAGAAGGCCAATGGTCATTCCTGCAGCCCAAATCGTCTCAGGGCATTCTCCAGATCCTGCTACTTATTTATATATGTTGTCCCTTGAATATTCTAGGTTCATTACAAATTAATCTCATCCGACCACTTTTGTGGCGTAACTTTACCACAAAAGATTTTGACTCATCGTGCCTTTAAAAAAAAAAAAAAAAAGCAAAATATGAGGTTACGACGGGACGCTTAAAATTATGCTTTGTTTTTTATGCATAAACTAGTGTACAGTAAATTTAATTATCAGCATGCATGCACATACTGAAAGTGCATATACACATAAAAACCGAAGTATACTTTTTGCTGATAATCAACAACATGCCACAGATGCATATTCCAAGATATAGTCTGAAACAAGATTATATGTCAGACTTTTCCTGCTGCATTTTATTCATACATTACAGACATTCCTACATTTCTACAGGGCCAAAATTGCTCAAAAACCCATATAATGTCACACGATGTGCTTCTAAATGCATTACAGACATCACAAGCAATGACATAATTCCATTCACTGCAAAGCATTTTTATTATAATAAAAAGGGTAATTTAGCTCACAGGTATACTATTGATCTTTGAAACCCTCCAAGAGTTGAATTCATTGGTTCATGTCAGTTAAAGGTGCAGTAAGCAATTTTTGAAAAACGCTGTTGAAAAATTGATCGAACTGAGCACCAAAACATGCTTGTAGCCAATCAGCAGCAAGGGGCGTATACACTCATGATGGAGGAGGAGAGAGAGCTCGGTGCATAAGACGGACATTAGCAGAACGACTATATGAGAGAGATGGCAGAGAAAATACAAAAGAGGAAAAGGTCAGTTGCAATTAGGCAAGAGGCAGAACCCGCATTAATATCAGAACATTTCAGTTGCGTTGCTGTCTATGCAGGGTCAGACAGCTCTCAGATTCCATCAAAAATATCTTAATTTGTGTTCCGAAGATGAACGAAGGTCTTACGGGTTTGAAACGACATGAGGCTGAGTAATTAATGACAGAATTTTCATTTTTGGATAAACTAACCCTTTAAAGAGTGGGAAGGCCTGAAAACGGAACCTGGAACGTCTAAACCTTCTCCACCATCCGTTTCAAGCGTCAACTCCCAAAGTGTGTCCGAAAAGTAAGAAAATATACTCCTAATGTAAGTTTTTTTTTTCTTTTAGTTCCCCTTTTAGTGATTGATATAACCCCTTAATCATTGCCTGTGTTGTATAGGGTGTCCGTGAATGTGGGGGCGGAGGCATCGAGATACGGGTGTGATCCTTTTGGGTAGGGGTGTATTTGTTTTGGTGATTTCAAATATCTACAGCGTTTTCCAGAAATTGCTTACTGCACTTTTAATATCCTGGACTGGGTGGTTAAACATGATATGAAGCCAAATTACTTTCCACCCTAAAAACATCACAATGCTTTTGTTAGCCAACATTAACCAGGCCAATGGAGATGCAACAAGGTGTTATCAACACACATCAACATCTTCTCTCTGCTCCTCACTGTATCTTCTCAGCAAAACCTCCAAATGACTGGGCCGCAGTGCTACCCAGCAGAGTGAGCTTTGGAAACCTCTTCCTAGTATTTGTAATTTGATTACAAATTTACAAATGAACAGAAAAGATTTGTAATGCCGCACATTTCATATGCTGAAAACAAAATTTTATTCCATCCCATGTTCAAGCTATTCTAGCCATCTCACTGACTTCATAAGCCACTTTGAAGATCTGAAGCATGAGGCATCTGTCTTGAATCACAAATATTCCTTCCTTAATTAGAAGGACGGTCTTTTCATTAGTTCTGGACTTCTGGGTTCTTGTTTGTTCCCTTGACAGGATTGCACTAGAGTGTGTTACCATTGTGATTTTTCTTAGTAATACATTTTTCAGTTCTTATAACAACCACAATAGTTTTTGAGGTTGTATCACAAAAATGTTTGGAATTCCCTGCCTTAAAGAGTGTTTGCATGTTCATAAACAATGGAAATTAATTAAACAGATCCAGGATCTGTTATGAAACGGGTCAGGCTCTGAATTCTAATTGGGTGAGGCATGCGGGCAGCCAAGGTTCTCATTTCTTTTGATCAACACATTTCTAAGATTTGTTTTACAGTCATGTCATTATTGAAAAATATTTTTTTTAAAGAGCCATTTTTAGCCAATTATTTCAGAACAAAGAATAAAAAAATCATATTGACTTTAGAAATGGACATGACTTTTTAGGATTGTATTAATCTCAGTTAAAGGTCCTTCATTACACTGTAATTTCTATTTGTATAATTAAATGTTCATTATAAAAATATTGCTACATGTGAAGAACTATTATAAACATAAGCCATTTTTATATGTATTGTGTAAAAAATGTTTAAAAATCAGCTGTTACAGCTGTTGCACTATTTCCTCAATGGCCAACAATTTTGACCCTAATAAGGTTTAATATGAAGTTCATTTATTTATTTACCAAGGAGACAGTGTCAGTGAATAGTGCTTGAGATGAAATATCACAGATGTGTGTGAAGAAAACTAAAAAGGCAAGTTAAATACTACAGTATACATAATATTTGTATTTGTGTGTTATTTCCGATCAAACTGTAATATTATTTAATTGTGTGCATTTAAGATACATAAAATCCCTCAGAGGACATACAAGTTGGACATCTTATCAAAACGTGTAAAATGTAATTTACATTACAGAATGTTATCATATTATCTATGACCACTGTTAGACATTAATAGTTATAATGTAAATTAAAGCTGCAAGCAGCGTTTAAAGGGCCCTCGCACCCGGAGCCACCTCCACCCGGTGACCTTAGGAAAACAGTGAACGGTGGGCAATATGCATTTAAAGTGGTAAATATAGGAGGAATATGGCAAAGTCCTATGACTATAACTGAATATTGGCATGTAGATGTCTTCAGGCCAGAACTTTTATCAAACATGTGAAGTTTGGTGCAGATTGAACATGGTATGTTTGAGTTAGTGTAAAACATGACATATCCTGTTGCCAACAGCTGGCGCTATAAATTATAACTGAATTTTGGCATGTGGCCAGAACTTTTATCAAACATCTGAAGTTTGGGGCAGATCATAACAACTTCCTGTTTCACGGCGAAAGTCTAAATTTTTCAGGCCACCACGGACACGCCCTTCAACGAAAACTCAAGATCTTCGCAATTTAACATCACAAAGGGCTTTAGATTACACTGACCAAATTTGGTGTTGATCTGATTAAATCTTTAGGAGGAGTTTGTTCAAATCAAAGGCTATAGAATACCAACGCCTGAAAATGGCGAAAACAAAATTCGCAGAGAAAATTCAAAATAGCTGACTTCCTGTTGGGTTTTGGATTTTGCTCCAAGATACTTTTTTGTAGGTATTGGTGTGTTACATGTGTCTACCAAATTTCGTACATGCACGTGAAACTTAGCTCGAGGTCACTTCGTTGAAAGTGTATTGGTGGCGCTATCGAGCCATTTTGCCACGCCCTCTTCTGAAATTTTCAGACGTAAATCAATAGTAATTTTCGCCACTTCTGGTGTGTGTGCAAAGTTTCATGTTTTACAAGTTTTCGAGCATGTTTAGGCCCTCAGAAATTAGATTCATTTAATAATAATAATAATAAATAATTAATAATAATAAACAGAGCAATTCCAATAGGGTCCTCGCACCGCATGGCCAAAATTGCTCAAACACTCAAATGTCAAAGTCAATAATGTCACATGATGTGCTTCTAACTGAGTGATTATTTATTAATATGTGTGTTCCAGTAGCGTTTTGATTCAATAATGATTTAAAAGCATGACTTTGTAATTAAAGTTTTTTTTTTTATTTATGTTATTGCAAACAATTCAGAGATGACATTAATGAAATACAACTTTGCATACATTACACATAATGTATCAACAATACATCCAATGTCATCTGAACATAGAAGACAAGAAAAAAAAAGCTGTCAGTGACTGTTAAAAGAGAAAGATGCATTTAAATAGCTTTTTTATGAACATAAAGAAAGGCAGGAACAGAACAAATAAAGAAAAGAGGATTAAAAAACAAAAACAACAAAAAAAACACCAAAACAAGTATTAATCACAGTAGGCTACATGAAATATCTCATCATATCTCTTCAAAAAAGAAATATTTTTTTTGTTATTAATTACTCTTAGCGATTTAATTAAATGTTCTACTTCACATAAGAAATCTATAAAAGTAGGTATTTTCTTAAGAACCCTTTGTTTGTTAAAATAGAATTTTGCCACAAGGATAAGAAAGTTAACAGCAGATTCTAAAGATTTGTTTTGGTTTTCAAATAAGCAAACAACATCCTTAATGTGTAAATTACACTTCATATTAACTTTAGAAAAACAATAGGAACCCAAATCTTTCCAGAAGAGTGATGAAACATTACAAGAGAAAAATAAATGACAAATATCTTCACTTTCTTTTTTTACAGAAGGTGCATATATCAGCTACATCATGGTAATTAACGGTTTTAATGATCAGTAAATCCAGTCAATTACGTAAAAAGAAGTGTGAGGAAGTGCTTCGCCAACAGGAAGTTCAGCTGTAGTGTGTTTAGTTTCTGGAGCGATGGCGGAGAACATAGACGGAGAGAGTGCTGGACTCGGGGAGAACAGGTCAGATAACGCTGAAAGGACTCAGTATGACAACGCTAGATGCAGATTTACGCAGAAATCAGTGCTTGTCTTTATCTTCGCTATACAGCAAGGCTGTTATAGTGTGAGTGGTGGAAAAGTCCACTGGCGCAGTTTAGCGCAGTTAGCATGTTTGCTAGCTTCGTAAACGTTCTTTCTATGTTTATTTATCTGCTTAAATAGTTCACGCGTGACCAGAAACGCATGGGAAGCAAAACTATACGCTTCACAATAACATACTAATCAATAAAATGTTAATATTTCCTGTTAGCAACTAACGTTAATGGCTTGTTAGTTGACGTGTTAGCTGTGCCTGGGTTTGCTTGCTATCTTTAGCCCACCGGCTTGTTACGACAATTAAGCTTTTTATGGATAAGGGATGTGTTTGCATGCCATGTTTATTGTGTGGTTTTGTTTAGTTAGCGTTTAAAACAGCTTAAATTAGCACTGAATAGAAAAAGAAAACCGCAGAGATTCAGTTTAATGGTCACATCACTACGAAAATTAATCATGGGATGTCTAAGGTAAGTACATGTTAAGCGATTATTGAAAACATCTGAGAATGAAGCATACATTGATTTTTATTAAATCTACGAGAGATACTCAGTCAAGCGCAGAAAGTAAATTACTCATAAACCGTTCAGGCCGTTTTTTATATATGTGTATAATAATGCACGGTGCCGACCGTATTTATGTGAATACACACCAGTGCAGGCATTTTGACACTCAGTGTTTTTACCGTTTTAGGAGCCCCACCGAAGACAAATCTACTATGCTTGTCCGTGTTCCACTCGGACCTCGCGCGCAGAAAACATCCAGTCAGAAGCGGATTGAGTTCTGTTTCACGGCTTTGAGTTTTTAATACTGTCTGTCTTTTTAATATCAAGAATGTCCCGCTCTTTTTTTTGTCTCATTCATTCACGTTCCTTTATTAATAATAACGCTAACAGTCCCACGCAGTGAGAGCTGCGCGGAAAAAGCGAAAGTAACCGGCGAAATGTTTCAAAGTATAAAACATATAAAACAAAGTATATGTTTCAGTCCTGTCTATTCAGAAAAGTGAGCTTGCTCTGCCTAATATAGTATTTTTTTCTGCTAGCACCCCTGTGCGCTCCTCTTTGTGTCTGTCTTTAATGGATCCCATCTCTGGCCTTGCTCATATTTCCACACAAATAATATAGTTCAGGAAATTATTTCATTGCAGTGTTTTGTGCAATTCCAGAGCAGAGATTAGCGGAAATAAAACAAAAAAATGGTTCTGGTTGATGGCTGGTGGACCGATGCATCGCCAGCATTTAACATCGAGCACGTCCCATTCTATATTTTACATTCAGAAATTCATTAAATGTATAATAAGTTGCCTGACAACTGCGCAAACACCAATGTTTCTTTAATGTTATCACATAAACCGGGTGCTTTACATGTCCTGACTAGTTTTGTAGTGTAATTTTGTCATTTAGCTTTTAGTGTACGGTGAAAATCAAGTTGAGGTTTTGCATACCAAGAATATTGGTCATTACTGATTTTTGTCATTTATTTTTCCTTAGGATGGTGTTACAGCAGGCGTTACATTTTCGTAGCCCTGCTCCACCACCTACCACAGTTTTGCGAGGACCTCCACCATTACTACGACCCCCACCTCCACCCTTTGGCATGATGAGAGGACCCCCACCACCCCCTAGACCCCCTTTTGGCAGACCACCGTTTGACACCAGTATGCCACCTATACCCCCACCCGGAGCTTTGCCCCCACCCATTGGACCCCCACACCTGCAGGTAGGTTCTATTACAAAAGTAGGTGCATATGTGCACGAAAACTACAAGAGACTGATCGAAAGTAATTTTAAGATATTTAAGTATCAAAAATTCTGTTGTGTTTTTCACAGAGGCCACCGTTCATGCCCCCACCAATGAGTAACATGCCCCCTCCTCCTGGTATGATCTTTCCACCTGGAATGCCTCCATCGCCAGGAACTGGAGCGGTTTCAAGCTTGACTAGTGATGAAATCTGGGTAGAGAACACCACACCAGAAGGAAAGGTAGCAAAGTGACTTCTAAATTAAAATAAATATAATTGAATAGTACACTTAATGGATGAAAAATGTGATCTCGTTTCAAACACCCACTCAATCTTATTCTTAAATGAGTTCGCCTCATGTCTCTTAAACCTTTGACAAGTACAATCACAGCGAACATTCAAATTTGTGTTTGTGCTGTCGCTGACTTACAGAGAGCAGTTGTCGTGTATAGATATGAAACAGCCACACAGTATTGTTATTTCTGTGTTAAAAGTTTATAGTTCGGATATAAACACTGATGTCTATGATAGCAATACAATTTGAGTAAGTCCTGGGTACTTCTGGATAGTGGTTGGACAACTAGTCAACCATCCTGACGCAATCCTAGTATTAGCATCCTAGGACTTTTGAAATATTCCCACAACACTCTTCCAGGTATATTACTACAATGCCCGGACACGTGAGTCAGCCTGGACCAAACCAGAGGGAGTAAAGATCATCCAGCAGTCGGAGCTCAATCCTCTAATGGCAGCTCAGTCTGGAGGAGCTGCAGCAGCTCCTAACACCGCTGCCTCTACTGCAGCAAGCAGCGCTACTACGGTTGTGCCCGACCTGGTCTCCATTCAGAGCCTGTCCCCCACCCACACCCTCAGCACCAGCCCTGACCCCACTACCAGTCCAGCCCCCACTGCCTCTCAACCCTCCACCAGTGAGTATTACACACAGAGAAGGAATTATGGGTCATGTAGCGGCCTGTTGAGTAGAAATTGGATAATTTATAAAATTGAGAGTACTCATGGCCAATATGATAAATCGTAATTTTTTTGTCTTATTATCTTTAATCACACATTCATTCTTTCCCTTTGCTATATTTGTCCTGTAGTGTCTGTTGTTTCTGAGATGCCTCCAGTGGCCTCCACACCTCCTGCTAGTGTAGGTGTGACCCCTGTTGCTGTGGTCAGTGTTCCTACAGTAACCGCTACAGTCACTGCAGTGCATACAATGCCGCTGTTGCCTCAAAGTCTCCCTCCTGGCCTGTCCATGGCCCAGCCGGCCGCTGCAATCCCAGCATTTCCCCCGGTCATGGTACCTCCATTCAGAGTGCCTCTACCTGGCATACACATCCCACTGCCTGGTATGTAGAAATAAATTTAATTCTAAAAGTAAGTTGAGTTGGCTAGTTAGTTTAGCTAAACGCCAGCAAATGTAGAGGTCCAGTATATCCTTCATTAAATGTATAATTTATTAACTCAACCAGTAGATGGCGCCCTCATCTTAAAGTAATGTGAACAAGGTGCATACACTTACACTCAGTATTGCACACTACAAATATCAGGACATTTTATGGAAATGTCATGAAGATTAACAATCTTAAGTAGGGTTGCAAAGGGGTGGAAAATTTACGGTAACTTTCCCTGGAATATTCCAAAAAATCCTGTAAAGTTTCCAAAATTTCTGTAACGTTTCTGTTTTTTGGAGGTTGTTGTTGTTAACTGGACTGACCATTAACATTGGCAGTTCAACATTTCGGGTTTAGCACACAGACAATGTTAGTCAATGTTATATTCAGAAACATTTTATTTTTCTGAGCAGATAAGGACAGTGACAAGGCTAAAGATGGCCATAACAATGGTTCAGTTTTAAAGGATCTAGACATGGAAGCCAAAGCTGGCAACTTTGGCATTTCTAAAGAGGTAAGTGTAAAGTTTGCAGGTGATTTAGACTTGTTTAAAGCAAACTTTGAGTATTTAAAAAATAATATTGATAATGTTTTGATGTTGTAGTTGCCCAGGGAAGAAGAGATGACAGAGGAGGAAAAAGCAGCACAGAAGGCAAAACCTGTAGCCACAAACCCAATTCCTGGTACTCCCTGGTGAGCATTTCTCCTCCTCCGTCCCTTCAGTGATTAAAGTCTGCAAGTTTGTTCAAAAGGTTTCATAAAAATTGACATGTTTGTGTTTTTAGGTGTGTAGTCTGGACTGGAGATGATCGTGTGTTTTACTACAACCCCACCACACGACTGTCCATGTGGGACCGACCTGAGGAGCTGGTGGGTCGTGCTGATGTGGACAAATACATTCAAGAACCCTCCCACAAAAGGGGGGTAGATGACAACAAGAAAATAGGTGAAACCCTCTGTGACACTAATTTGCACTGCATAAAGTTTCAGATTGCTTGTGAACTAAGATTCTTTGTTGAAAGTAACGTAGCAAAAACTAACATACACCTTTATTTCTCATTGCAGGTTTCAACAAAGAGGAGATTGACACAGCCATAGAGGACACACTGGACGATGAGCCTTCTAAGGCTAAGAAGAGAAAGTAAGTACCGACGGCCCACAGCAGGAACCGTAGGGGGCCGAACACCCACCCCTGCAGAACACCTAGCTTTTGTATTATACGGAAGAAACTACAAGCGACATGGCATCTTTATTCCTTGTCATATGAAGGAAATGGGGCTGTTTCCGTTCAAGCCCTCAGCTAAGACATGTTGACTGGACCATTTTTTGTCACAATTATAGAAATCTTCGGCGGCATTTTCTTTCTTCTTCTTTTTTTTTTTTGTGCACCCAATGCTGACTTGTCTTAGCTGTGGTAATCTTTAGTTTGGGTCTGTGAAAAGTGGTGACTCCATGACGTTTACCAAATCAAATCAGTCACTGTTTCCCATCAGTGCCCTTCACGCCTGCCTCCCCCTGACCCCAAACAGTGGTCCTGTTGCACTGGGGACTATTTTTCAGGGAACGCTTCTAAGCTCTGGCGATGCCAACGTGGGCCTCCAAGGTAACCCACCTTGTTTGACCTCTTTGTAGCCTCCATTAGGCAAACCCCAGTGAACCAATCAAAACTTCAGTCCTTCATTGATGTGTATTTATGTAAAAAAGGTTTTGGGATTTATTTTCAAAAAACTGAAAGCAAAAATACGAGTATATTTGTATTTGACATCTATTCTAACTTACAAAACGCAAATAACCCGTTGATGCGCAGATTGCAAGGATAATGCAGTGCTTAGACTTTGAACACACTTTCTCAAATTGAAATAAATTTGTGTAGTAGGGCTTTCGAAATTAAAATGTTGCTACATTCAATAAATTAAAAATGGTCACAATTTTTATCGTTTTGAACGGTTTCTAGAAGTATATTTTCTTTCCTTAAAAGGAAATAAATGCATTGATTTGGAAACCATAAATTATGATTTAAATATTTCAATCATTTGATAGTTCTAATAAATAGATTTCAGTTAGATATAGACGTCAATTCTTTCAACAATGTAAGGATAAAATCTTACAATTTTCAGAGATCCTCCAATGTTTATTTATTTATTTTTTTTACAAGCATAGAAGCAAAAAAAAAGTGTTGTAAAATTAAGAAGTTCTTCCTTACACTTGTCCTCTTCTCCCTCCCACAGGAAGGACGATATGAAGGAGGCTGGCGCAGAGAAAGACGCGGCCGTGGAGGCCGAACTGAAGGCCGCTCGCGATCGGGCCCTGGTGCCCCTGGAGGCCCGCATGAACCAGTTCAGGGACATGCTGCTGGAGAGAGGGGTAAAACACTTCAATCCAACGCAATACTCTAACCAGCTCTGTAATATTAGACACATAAATCTGAATGGAAGCCCACCAAGGTACAATCTTAAGTTCATTCCTATTATCATTCTTTAATATTATGTAATATAGAGTCTTAAATTTCTCTCTGCTCTTTCTGTCACTCCGTTTATTTACCTGTCCTTTCTGAATTGCTCTGAGTGAGGTCGTGTTAGATGATTTGTGCTTGACTATAGGGATGGGCGGTATGACCCAAATCTTCTATCACAGTTTTTATATCATGGTAACTGCGTATATCACAAGTTATTTATCACAAGATCTTTATGCTGGAAATTCATTGGGGAAAAATATTTGCATATTTAATAAGCATTGGTATGTCTGAAATCACCTCATGTATGCTTATTAATGGTTTCCTACTTTAGTCCACTAATTTAGTCCAGTGTAAGTAGTTAATGTAACAAAGTCAATCTTAACTTATAATAAACCTTTATTAAACTCAAAGCTTCCACAAAGAAAATGAGATGAACTTTTACAGTGATACCACTTACTGTACAGCTCTTAACCAAATAAATAACTTTGTTGGCATGAAATACTGATATGAGTTGAAACTCTCTTAAAATCTTGAAATCTGTATTAAAATCTGTTAAAATCATATAACAATTTTACAGTATTATAAATACTGAAGTTTATTCATTTTAATCAGTCTATAAATGAGACAAAAGATCACACCAGTTGACTAAATGAGAGATCAAGTCCACAATGTGATATGAAATATATGAAAGGAGCACTGACATATACCTGAATGAGCGATCGTTATACAGGATCGCCATTAATAAAGTATTTCAGAGAATAACACTTGTAAATAATGTGTAATGAATAGTCACACCGCCCAGTCCTACTTGACAGAAGTGTTTGGTGCCCTCTCTTGTCACTGTTCATACTAGAATCTCTATCTGTCAGCTTTGAATAAAACTCTTTGGTCCTAAATTGTTGCATGACAAATAATTACTGTTACCACAGAAGAATGTACTGCTGCATTGTATAATGGTCAATTATTTTGTATTGCTTGATTTGATTTGATCACATTAAAATATTTGAGGAAGACGTATATATTTTTTAACTTCCATGTCTATCAGTATTACGCAGTTGTAGTAATTGTAAGTGATTGTAATTTGACACATAGAGATTTCAGTTGTGTGTCATTTGTAATTTTAAATGTTTTTAAAGGAATGTTGTGGGTTCAATACAAGTTAAGCTCTTTAAGTCACTCCCATATGATGTTTGTTGATTAACTTGATTGAAGTGTTGTTTTATCTGTTCAGTGGTAAGTCAGTTTTTTTGTCCACTTCTTACTTGCAGGTTTCAGCTTTTTCCACTTGGGACAAAGAGCTGCATAGAGGACACACTGGACGATGAGCCTTCTAAGGCTAAGAAGAGAAAGTAAGTACCGACGGCCCACAGCAGGAACCGTAGGGGGCCGAACATCCACCCCTGCAGAACACCTAGCTTTTGTACTATACGGAAGAAAATAGAAGCGACATGAAAATTTTATTTCTTGTCATATAAAGAGAAAAGGAAATGGGGCTGTTTCCGTTCAAGCCCTGAGCTAAGACATGTTGACTGGACCATTTTATGTCACAATTAAAGAAATCTTCGGCGGCAATTTTCTTTTTTTCTTTTTGTGCACCCAATGCTGACTTGTCTTAGCTGTGGTAATCTTTAGTTTGGGTCTGTGAAAAGTGGTGACTCCATGACGTTTACCAAATCAAATCAGTCACTGTTTCCCATCAGTGCCCTTCACGCCTGCCTCCCCCTGACCCCAAACAGTGGTCCTGTTGCACTGGGGACTATTTTTCAGGGAACGCTTCTAAGCTCTGGCGATGCCAACGTGGGCCTCCAAGGTAACCCACCTTGTTTGACCTCTTTGTAGCCTCCATTAGGCAAACCCCAGTGAACCAATCAAAACTTCAGTCCTTCATTGATGTGTATTTATGTAAAAAAGGTTTTGGGATTTATTTTCAAAAAACTGAAAGCAAAAATACGAGTATATTTGTATTTGACATCTATTCTAACTTACAAAACGCAAATAACCCGTTGATGCGCAGATTGCAAGGATAATGCAGTGCTTAGACTTTGAACACACTTTCTCAAATTGAAATAAATTTGTGTAGTAGGGCTTTCGAAATTAAAATGTTGCTACATTCAATAAATTAAAAATGGTCACAATTTGTATCGTTTTGAACGGTTTCTAGAAGTATATTTTCTTTCCTTAAAAGGAAATAAATGCATTGATTTGGAAACCATAAATTATGATTTAAATATTTCAATCATTTGATAGTTCTAATAAATAGATTTCAGTTAGATATAGACGTCAATTCTTTCAACAATGTAAGGATAAAATCGTACAATTTTCAGAGATCCTCCAATGTTTATTTTTTATTTTTTTTTTACAAGCATAGAAGCAAAAAAAAAGTGTTGTAAAATTAAGAAGTTCTTCCTTACACTTGTCCTCTTCTCCCTGACAGGAAGGACGATATGAAGGAGGCTGGCGCAGAGAAAGACGCGGCCGTGGAGGCCGAACTGAAGGCCGCTCGCGATCGGGCCCTGGTGCCCCTGGAGGCCCGCATGAACCAGTTCAGGGACATGCTGCTGGAGAGAGGGGTAAAACACTTCAATCCAACGCAATACTCTAACCAGCTCTGTAATATTAGACACATAAATCTGAATGGAAGCCCACCAAGGTACAATCTTAAGTTCATTCTTGTTATTATCATTCTTTAATATTATGTAATATAGAGTCTTACATTTCTCTCTGCTCTTTCTGTCACTCCATTTATTTACCTGTCCTTTCTGAATTGCTCTGAGTGAGGTCGTGTTAGATGATTTGTGCTTGACTATAGGGATGGGCGGTATGACCCAAATCTTCTATCACAGTTTTTATATCATGGTAACTGCGTATATCACAAGTTATTTATCACAAGATCTTTATGCTGGAAATTCATTGGGGAAAAATATTTGCATATTTAATAAGCATTGGTATGTCTGAAATCACCTCATGTATGCTTATTAATGGTTTCCTACTTTAGTCCACTAATTTAGTCCAGTGTAAGTAGTTAATGTAACAAAGTCAATCTTAACTTATAATAAACCTTTATTAAACTCAAAGCTTCCACAAAGAAAATGAGATGAACTTTTACAGTGATACCACTTACTGTACAGCTCTTAACCAAATAAATAACTTTGTTGGCATGAAATACTGATATGAGTTGAAACTCTCTTAAAATCTTGAAATCTGTATTAAAATCTGTTAAAATCATATAACAATTTTACAGTATTATAAATACTGAAGTTTATTCATTTTAATCAGTCTATAAATGAGACAAAAGATCACACCAGTTGACTAAATGAGAGATCAAGTCCACAATGTGATATGAAATATATGAAAGGAGCACTGACATATACCTGAATGAGCGATCGTTATACAGGATCGCCATTAATAAAGTATTTCAGAGAATAACACTTGTAAATAATGTGTAATGAATAGTCACACCGCCCAGTCCTACTTGACAGAAGTGTTTGGTGCCCTCTCTTGTCACTGTTCATACTAGAATCTCTATCTGTCAGCTTTGAATAAAACTCTTTGGTCCTAAATTGTTGCATGACAAATAATTACTGTTACCACAGAAGAATGTACTGCTGCATTGTATAATGGTCAATTATTTTGTATTGCTTGATTTGATTTGATCACATTAAAATATTTGAGGAAGACGTATATATTTTTTAACTTCCATGTCTATCAGTATTACGCAGTTGTAGTAATTGTAAGTGATTGTAATTTGACACATAGAGATTTCAGTTGTGTGTCATTTGTAATTTTAAATGTTTTTAAAGGAATGTTGTGGGTTCAATACAAGTTAAGCTCTTTAAGTCACTCCCATATGATGTTTGTTGATTAACTTGATTGAAGTGTTGTTTTATCTGTTCAGTGGTAAGTCAGTTTTTTTGTCCACTTCTTACTTGCAGGTTTCAGCTTTTTCCACTTGGGACAAAGAGCTGCACAAGATTGTGTTTGACCCTCGATATTTGCTGCTCAACCCCAAAGAGAGGAAACAGGTACGAAGAGCACTTGGTGGCATTTAGTGGTTTGCTGAATGAGCAGAAGTGGGCAGCTTTGCCATTTTTATCTCTATTCACTGTGCAGGTGTTCGATCAGTATGTGAAGACTCGTGCTGAAGAGGAGAGGAAGGAGAAGAAGAATAAACTCATGCAGGCTAAAGATGACTTCAGGAAGATGATGGAAGATGCCAAACTTCACATTAGGTGTGTTGTTTGTTTCAGTTAGGCTTTCTCTATATTTTGCACTTAAAGGGTTTGTGTGACCTTCTGAAATCTTAATGCTAGGTGTAAACCGATTAGATTGACCGCAAATATGTAATAAAAGTTGCCACTTATGTCAATTTTCCTTTCACCTGTTAGGACCACATTCAGTGAGTTTGCAGCAAAACACTCTAAGGATCCTCGCTTCAAGGCCATTGAGAAGATGAAGGACAGAGAGGCCATGTTCACAGAGTTCATGACAGCCTTGAGAAAGAAGGACAAAGACGACTCCAAAAACAAAGTAGAAAAGGTCTGTCACCGGCCTCCCACAACCACCCTGAAATGTCCACTCGAATCAACAGGAAGTCACAAGTTCTGTTGATAGAATTAAGGTTGAATTTAACTCTATTCGGTCAAGCCCTGACAAATTAAGTCAAGTTGTGTTTCTGGCTGCAGGTGAAGCAGGACTTCTTCGATTTACTGTCAGACCACCATGTGGACGTCTCTCAGCGCTGGAGCAAAGTGAAGGACAAGCTGGAGACGGACCCGCGCTACAAAGCCGTGGAGAGCTCAGCTGCTAGAGAGGAACTGTACAAACAGTATGTGGAGAAGCAGGCGAAGGTTAGAACGGTATTCCTGGTCCTATTGATTCATCAGGATGAACACCAACACAACTCGGACTGATACTAGAAAAATGTGTTTCATATAAGTGTCTTTGTGTTGTGTAGAACATGGACGCAGAGAAGGAGAAAGAGCTGGAACGGCAGGCTCGCACCGAGGCCAGTCTGAGGGAGAGAGAGCGGGAGGTGCAGAGAGCTCGGTCTGAACAAACCAAAGAGATTGACAGAGAGAGAGAGCAGCATAAACGAGAGGAAGCTGTCCAGCACTTTAAAGCGCTCATGTCAGATATGGTCAGTGCTGGCACACTCTTAACAATTATTACATTTCTCATTGTACATTGCGTTAATTATATGTATACATTTTGTAATTTTTCATTATTATTATTCACACATAGGTAAAGTCAACGGATGCTTCCTGGTCAGAAACGAGGCGCACTCTTCGTAAAGACCACCGGTGGGAGTCTGTTGCTCTGCTGGAGCGACATGAGAAGGAGAAATTGTTTGAAGAACATGTGGAGGCTCTTACCAAGAGGAAGAAGGAACATTTCAGGCAGCTGTTGGATGAGACCTCCATGGTGAGACAGGGGTTCAAAATCACACAATCACATAACAACAACAATAATTATATTATATAATTATTATTTTTATTCTAATGCATTTTAGAATAATAATAATAGTAATTCTGATTCTTCTTATATATTTATATAGAAATTAAGTCTTTATAATATAATTTATTAACAACAAATATTCTATAATATTGTTCTATATTGTGTCGATGCTATAATATATTAAATATAATTATTATATTGCTATGCCATGCTTCAGCCACGATAATAATAACTATTATATAATAAATATTATTATGGTTATATGTATAAATAATGTTGTTGCTGTTATTATAGGATATTAAATTATTATTAATATTTTAATTCTTTTTTTTATTATCATTCTTTTTTTGTTGGTTCTATTGACAAGAATATTAATAATATTAGTATTAATTTGGTGAAAAGGTTCGTGTTAAATGACTAAATGTAAATTAATGTACCTTACTATGTTCTGAAAACTTTCCAGTGAGACAGAAGTTCAGTCAGACCTTTTCTTTAAAGGTCCCCTGAAATGCTTCGAAACACGCAGCGTTACTCTGTGTTGACGTCATTTTAACTGAAACAGAGTTATAATTTTCATTAAAATAAAGTATGTTTATAATGCAATGCCTTTATCACTGCTTAGAATACTATGAAATATTTTGCGTGCCTTATTCTGTGTAAGAAGCCACATCATCTCACAGAAGGATTTATTTCAAACACTCGACTGACGTTATGAAGTGAGTTTGGAGTAAAAATATGTTATTAAATGTGGTATTTTCACATGCTTTCAGATGGAGCAGCATTTACTTCACAGAGCCGTAGTTCACTGAGAAGCTATGCAAACAGCTGTCATTATCCCAAACGATTTCAGAATTGCGCAATAAAATCGTCTGCGATTTGTTTTTTTAATAATTTGTTTTTTTGTGCGTAACTTGTCAGTGAACTACGGCTATGTGTGTAGTAAATGCTGCTCCATCTGAAAGCACGTGATGATGACGACTCGCGCATGTGATCCGCTCCGTGCTATCGTGTCTCTGGACCGGAGCAGAGTGTGTGTGCGGTGGTTAGCGTGACACAGCGCAAAACCAGACTTCTTTTTTTTCCTCAATGGAAAGCATATTTACACTGTTTGAATCGTCCCCTGTCTCCTATATAGTGCACTACGTGCCATTCACTGTATAGAAAATACTAATTCTGTGGACAAGTGACCGATTTCAGTCCCGGCTTCAACATCTATTTTATAGTGTAGGGGGCTAAAAATCGAAATAAAAAATTGGGCTCAACGAAAACAGCCGTTTTGGCGCAAGTGAGGAACTGCAAGCTTTGAATGCTTATATCTTCAAAATGCGAATTTTGTCACTGTTTTGGAGCACACTGCCTTATAGATAACCTTAAGACTAACATATTGATACTAACACCCAAAAAACTTTACTTTTGATTTCATGGGGACTTAAATAGATGGCTATCGGTACAAAGAAAAGAAAAAATTTTTTTTTATTGTTACTGGACTTTTGAGCTTTTATAACGTACCAGTCATAAAAAAAAAATCCATAGTCAAATTTTGATTTGAACTTTATTTTATTTTATTTATTTTTTTGATTATTTCATTATTTCATTATTTGATCCTTATGGTATATGTCTTTGGGTTATCCATGTGTTAATGCTGCTTATGTAACTATTTAATCATAGATCACCCTAACAACCACATGGAAGGAAATGAAGAAGATCATCAAAGATGACCCACGCTGCATCAAGTTCTCCAGCAGTGATAGAGTAAGTTGAATTGTTTAGTTGACATACTGCCCTTTTTGCCTTGTCATCAACATTAATGACTTCTCTTTCTCTCATCTCTTCTAGAAGAAACAACGGGAATTTGAAGATTACATAAAGGACAAATATATCACAGCCAAAGCTGACTTCAGAACTCTCCTGAAAGAAACCAAATTCATCACGTATAGGTACGCACGCTCCTTTCGTTTTCAAAAATTCTCGTCTCTTGAAACCTGTACGACTGAAGAATGTACCAGGGTGAGCAAATGATGACAGAATATATATATTTTTTTTAAGTTAAAATGTAATTAGCCCTATTAGGAACATGATAATCATCTAGTTTTTTTAACTTCCATTTTCTAAAGCTGTTGAACTCCTATCTCATATTTTCTGCAGGTCACGGAAGTTGATCCAAGAGTCAGACCAGCACCTAAAAGATATTGAGAAAGTCCTTCAAAATGATAAACGTTACTTGGTCCTAGACTGCGTCCCAGAAGAACGCCGCAAACTCATCATGTTCTACATTGAGGACCTGGACCGCCGGGGACCCCCACCTCCCCCAACCGCCTCAGAACCCAGCCGCCGCTCCACGAAGTGAAGCCCTAGTGGACCTTAGAGGACTGAGTATGAGCCAGCCCTGCACTCATTATAGCACAGTGTTAAAGACTTGTATTTTTGAAAAGTCTGTGTTATCTACTGAAACTGTGCAAGATGATGCCCACTAGTTGTAGGCTAGCACAAGGCAAATTGTTAATGTCAATCTATGAACTTCAGTCGTCAGGCAGGGAATGCATTTGTACTTGGTACTGCAGCCTCTTGTGAGCGTCTTGTGGATTATCAATTGTAGCAGGCTGTTAATACAACAGGCCAATGCAGACAGTGTGAAACGAGTCGTGTACCTTGCAGTACATGTGAAATGTTTCTTAAAGTGGTTTGATTTGGACTTGTTGCTATATTTCTGTATGTGTTGAATGGAAATAAATGCAAACTTTTTGTTTTTTTAGCAACTGTTGTGATCTTGTAATTTTCACAGGCCATGAAATCAAAGAATATAAATGTACCTCTTGATTTTCTTTATAAAATTAGAACAAAAAAGCAGAACATTAGTACAGTTGCTACATTGTTTACTTAAGTTTTACACCATTCCTGTTTGTTGCATCAATCAACCCATAAGCTGGGTTTTGATGCATGCACCTTCCTTCATAAAGTAAAATGAGAAATACAATTTTGGAAGCTGAAAAGTTGGATACCTCACGGCCACAGCAGCCACAACAATATGTTCAGTTCTCGAAGCCATCTGCATCCTCTGTCCTGCCAAGAAGCAAGAATCAGATGTAGGCTGAATACTGACTCGGCTGAAACATTTCCTCTCGCTATCATAAGGCCCTTTCACATGACTTTTCAATGCATTGCACACAACAGCATGAAGTGTCAAGCTAAAATGTTGCACACAAATACTGTAGCACTGAATGTCAAATTTGACTTGGCTTTTCAGTTGAACTTTCAAAACACATCCAATGATTACCAAGTTTGCAAGAGACGCCAGCACAAAAATCAAAGCAAGATGCTGTGCCTCTGCTCAACTTCAAAGGCATATGACATTCAGAGAAACACATTCCGTTTCTTTCAAAACAATCAGAAGGGCTCTTTTTCTGCTCTAAGTACATTTTTGTTTGCTTTATTTTCACTCAGTACATTTCCCATTTTCTTGCTACCTAGCAACATCCTTCCATGATGGCATCTGTACCGAGCCGAGTCGTACCACGCAGTGGAAAAGCGCCATATGATGCTTCTCATGGAGGTCAAATGGTGCTGGAGAGATGCCCTGATGTGAATCGTGTGAAAGGGCCTTTAGTGACATTAAGGGTGCTTTCACACCTGTAGGTCGATTGCTTTGTTCCGAAACAAGGGTTTAAAATTATTACAATGTTGCTTTTTATTCTTGGTGCGGTTCGCTTTCACACGGCAAAGTTTCTAAACGGACCAAATTTGCTAATACAAGTCACGCGCGAGTAAACTGTTCTCTCATTGGTCAACATTTCACGGTTTATTTTCCGGGATTCCACCGCTGTCACGGCTGTCATCCGTCAGGATGGAACGACAACAGCTTTGCGGGCTTATTGTTTTTTTGTTTTTGTTTTTTGTAGCTGTCCTTATATTAATTTATAATTTTGAGCAGGAGTCCAGGATTCATCGGGAAAACATTTTTAAAATGCACCAACTGGGAAGAAGAGCAGTAAGACGGTATTATAAAATGAAAGTGTGCTTTTTTATTTTGAATGGCGAAGACGTGCTCTCCCACAGACATTCACAGGTTCATTTTGAAGTATTAGCAAAACAACAAAGCTAATTCTTTTCACGGAACTTATGTAATTACCCATTATACATTGTGATATAGCCTGGTTACTTGGTCCGTTAGATCGGATTGCTTTCTCACTACAACCGAACCGCTCCAGAGTTCGTTTTCAATCGAGCCAAGACCACCTCGTTCAGGCGATCTCGGACCGATTGTTTTGAGCACAATTGCCGTGTTCACATATGCCCAAACGAACCGAGCTAAGGGGGGAAACGCGCCAGGTTCCGAAACAACGGGCTAGGTGTGAAAGCACCCTAAAGGTAAAAGGATCCACTTTGTATTGCTGTGCATTACCAACAAACCTATAGCTAGGGAGATTTGAAGTAATTAAAAACAAAAGCAGTCCAACAGCCAGTGTCATTGTCCGTAGTTTGCAGTGCACCTTCAAGTTTTGTCAGATTCAGTGCAGTATCAAATCTGCTGTAGAAGGCAAAGCTCATCTAGATGTTCCTCACAAGTTCACTGCTAGTGAGTCCAACCTTTCCACCCCCAGTTCATCTAGAGAAATAATGCCTCTTGTCGTTGTGATAACTGGAGACATTAGAGCTGCATGCTAGTTGACCTTGTCCTGAAATATATAGAGGTTGTTGGTGGCGGCCACAGCAATGATGTTCTCGTTGGGGTGCCATGCAGTGTGTAGGATCTTCTTACTGAAGTCCAGACTGTCCACACTGATTTCATCTTTCCGACGCTTGCCACCAACACAAACTTTGCGTGGCTTGAGAATGGCTCTAGGTTTGCTGTTTTCCCGCGAGGCCTCCAGAGTCACGTCGCGCTTAGTGTTCCGATCGAACATACGGAAGAAATTGTTGTAGGAGCCTGTCATTAGGACACTAATGGGAAAGGAATAAGACAATTAGTTCTTATTACCTGATACCAGCACCATAAAGTCCAAAATCAATTTGAAAAACCATGTGTGATTGATTGCTTTTGACCAGGGGAGTCCAATCCTTATCTTGGAGGTCCATCTTCCTGTAGAGCAGGGATGGGCAACTTAGGTCCTGGAGGGCCACTGTCCCGCAGAGGTCAGCTTCAGCCCTAATTAAACATATCTTGCCTGCAATTTTCAGGCAATCCTGGAGACTTAGGTTCGATTCTTTGCATGTTTGATTGAGATGGAGCTAAACTCTGCAGAACAGTGGCTCTCCAGGACCAGAGTTGGCCATCCTTGGTCTAAAGTTTGGTTCCAAGCTAATCAAGGGTTTCAGAATTACTCAAAAGTTCCAGAATAGAGCTAAACGCTGGAAGGTGGACATCCAGGAGAAGGACCAGACACCCCTGCTTTTGACAGACCTGTCAGTTCCATTCCAGACACATTCAAACTTGTCAAAGATGCAGTCATTCTCGTACAGTGAGCATAGCTTACTCCTAAGGTAGTCATGGACCTGTCAAAGGTAGAACCGAAAGCAAAGATGATCAATACCTAGTGGAACATTTGACCGGCAATTACAATAAAACTAGTTTTTGATGTCATAATAAACCAATCATTATAAATGTAATCACGGGTCACTGTCCAGTCTGCATAGCCAATACCTGGTAAGTTTCCAAAGGCTTGCTCTCCATGTTGATGTCCCACACCTTCACTGTGAGGTAGTCACGGGTCATCAAGTAGCGTCCATTGTGGCTGAATTTCACATCTGAGATGGAAGAGATGATCTCTGAGAAGAAGGAGTGATTACTGGGGTCTTCTGGTTCCTCAAATACTGATGAAGAGAAACAAGAAGACATTAATATAGAAGTAATATTTCAGGAGCAGAATTGGGGCCTTGATCTTGTGGCCTTAAAACCTCTCACGGCCTTGGTCTGGATCTTGGTGTCAGTTTATACTACTTTCAAACTACTTTCATATTCAACTACAAAACTCTGTACTACAATACAATACTCAAAGTTTTTTAATTAAATGCTGCAATAACTTTGAAAGATTAAAATGGACCCCCTAGTTCTTGGACCAACTCAGTGTTTTGGAATTGGGATTTTTTCTGGTTTTGGGCCTTAAGAGGTCCAGTCTTGGATTGATTCTCATATTGGTCATAGAAGGTCTGGTTGTGAACCCAACTGAAATTTCAAAATGGCTTTAACCTGTTTGGTTTAAACCAAGATCTTGAGGAAAAATATCTAATGGCTACCAAGAGTTGGCATGCGAAATGAATAGCACATCTCAATCAAAGTTCCAACAAGAAAACCAAAGACTTAAGTGAACTCACATTTAGAGTGGTTGTCACAAAGTGCAGATGTTCTCATGTCACACAATCTTATGGAGCCCTTGCTGCTACTGTAGACAAACGTGTTGCACTGGTTAGGGTGAAACTCAGCCGCTGTGATCACCTCGGTCAATTCTTCCATGTTGGCTGGCTTTATGTCCACAATATCTGAGTAGGCAGAGTGAAGGATCCACAATCCTACATTTCATACACTCGAAGAACATGGAATTCCCCATGAATCATTAAAACCCTTTCCATAAATGTCCTGCTTGATTAATGTGTCTGGCCCTACAGTATACATATGGTGGATTACTTCAGATCTACATTCCCAAATGATTGGATGAAACCAGCTTACAAAGAGGTAAATCCGCAACTGAGAAAATCTCTCATGCTAAATTTCTCCCAAGAGAATTTACGCTTTCAGAACTGCTTATATAAAAAAAAACGTTCGATAAAAAAACTCTAGGAGCCATAAATATAGCATCACATGCATGCATGTAGTGACAGGTTATCCATCATGACATGTTGTGAGGATCAAACATTTACAGTCTGACCTTTGGCTAATAACAGGCTTTATCTTCTTATCCCTTGAGCGACTGCACAGAACCCATAGCCACCCATACAGACTGTCCACAGGCTCTTCATCTCAGGTCTGCAGGGTCCTTGAGAACAGTAATCAATAGTGATCGATGGGGATGCGTGCCTGAGTAAGCTGGACACTATTTACCTTTGGGACGGCAAAGCAGGGGTCAGGATTAGTGGTGGACACTTGATAAAGGGTAATGGGTGTACTGTACATCACAGAGGTGTTATCTGTCAGAATTAAGTGACAGCAGAGACAGTCTGCAGGTGGTTTATTGGGTTTGTTTGATTGCTGGTTTAGCGGATTCCTTTTGTCCTTAGTTTAGTAACAAAAGCCTGTCAGTATTTATTGTGTCTGGGTACAAAGTGACTACTGGGAAAATAAAGCAATAAGCCACAGGAGGTAGGGCATAACTGTGATTTTACAATAGTTAAAGGATGCTGTGACGTATGATGCAAAAAAGATTCATTGCTTTTATCAAATATTAATGATAAAATGTATAAGCACAACAATCAATTCTTCCATCAAGTAACAGGACTATAGCCAAACGGTAGGAGATATCATAGATATGTTGACTTGGCACATTACCTAAAGTATTCAATTTTTACATTTTCACTCTTATAACAGGCCCTGTGACGGGCTGGTCATCTGTCCAGGGTGTTTCTTTTCCTTTGGCATGAGACACTGGGATAGCGTCCATCATCCCCGTGATCCTAATTAGGATAAGCACTTTATATATGTATGAACCCAGTTCTTTTAGTACAAAAACAAAAAACAGAGACCCAATATTTTTCTGACATGCAACCATCTCAGATTGTCATCAACCATCTGATTGTAAAAGGATACTAAAGCTTCGGTTTGTAATCTCCAAGTTCCATAGGTTGATCCTCAGGTCATCCGTGGACATGTATGTCTCATAGTCACTGTTGACCGAGATGGAGTTAATGTGATAGGTGTGAGCATTAGAGAAAATGCGACGTGGTGTTGCCTCCACCATCAAGTCCATGGGCCTCAACACGGGCACCTGAGAGGAGAAGGAAGACACATGGTTGGAAAAGAGAGACACCAAAGGGAACGTCAATATTTGCAATAAGAACCGAGATATGGGATTCTTAAAAATTTAAATATTTGCTTAGAAACATCGCCTGTAGCATGGTGGCTCAGGTCCCCGGTCCCAACTGAACTCTGGTTTCCCCCACAACCCAAAGTGATACAGGATAGGTGAATTAAAGATTAAATTGTGAGAGTTCATGTATGTGTTAGACCTGTAATAGACTGGCCATCAGCCATGGGTGATTACCTGTATTTGGCCGAAGAGCCTGGGATAGGCTTTAGCATCCCAAGCGGTTTGGAAAATGGATGGATGTCCTTCCCATTAGTGAATGACTATATGAGCCAGCCCAAATTTAGCCTACTCAATTTCTTGAATCTTGATTAAATATTGCCTAAGATAAGTCATTTAATTTCGGCAATTCTGTGTATTTCTCATTTGTTATATTTAAGTAATATGATGCAATAGGTCTCGATAAATAATATTAATTATATATAAAATTGTCATATATAAAAAAACGTTTTTAGTCGGTCTTCATGGGTTCTCCAGGTTCAGCAGGAACAGGTGTTTTACGTCAAATCTTTTACTATATTTTGTATTCTATCTCTGCTGGAACACTGTATTGACTAATCAGCATCCAGGACCGAAATTGGAATTATATGGATCTATATTGGAATTGTTTGGATCATCAGCCACCCTATCCTCCAAATATCAGCATCAGACACTGAAAAATCCTTTTTACTATACAATGCGTTATTGTTATTTCCTCTGAAAACAAATAGAGATACCATACAGTACCTGGAGCTGAAATAAATGAGGTGGTCTTTTGTTCTCAAATTACTTGCCCACACCTAGTCCCAACCGACTCCCAAAGCCAAACTGTCAAGATCTGAAGACGTGTGGAGTCTAACTCCCACAATGCAGCATGGTAATAGTAAGCGAAGGACAATCATCTCTTTAATGATGACTAATCTAAGGGCCAACGTTCCTACATGTGCTTCACAGGAGGGGTATTGCATCACAGTCAGTGTCTGACTTCCCGTGAGTTTTTTTTTTTTTTGTATGGGCGCAGCCCTCCACTAATGACAGAAGTGGCATGGAAGACAAGTCCTACTCACTACAGAGATGAGGAACGCTCATCACCGAGCAGTGGGAGGTGGAAGAGGGGCACACACTGCCAAGTCAAGTCATTATCACCTAACACATGGGAACTCCATCTCCATATTTTGATTTCCGTTAGAGGATGGGGGTGGGGTGAGGGATGCCTATTGTTGATGTATGCCTTTAAAGTACATTTTCTACTGCATTCACCACTCTGATAATTCATTTTACAAACGTATGCAATAGCAGGACTCAAATATTTCATAGAAAAATAGCATTCTGCTTAAAAAAATGATGTTCTGGGTGGGCTAATCTCACAAATGTAATGTTCATGTCATTTTTCAATTTAAACAGAAAACATTAAATTATGCTTTCATTAAGAAAATAAAGCATATTTTAGGAGAATTCAGATTTGTTGCATTGTGTGGTCTGTTCTCTACTACCCTATATGTGCTTTCAATAATGAAATTAGCTCATTGAGCATAGCGTCATGAATTCAGTTGACAGGAGCAATCAAGACTGATTGAAGCTATTATCTTTCAATCAAGCATTAATTAACTTAAGACTGCTGGGATATTCAGTCACTAATGATAAGAAGGGGTTTGTATATGTGGGTACACTATTAAAACATTATACATAATTCATATCTTTAGCATTGCAGATTTTATGTTAGTATGGAAATCATAAATCAGCATGAATTCCTACTGCCAATACATCCACAGACATGCTGCTGTGAGCATGCAAGAAATACTGCTGCTGCACATATAAGTTACATGAAATTACCCCCATGTATAACATAGATGAAATTCCCCTGTAGCAGATCTATACAGGTGGAACTGGGGAAGGTGGAGGGTTTCTGAAGCCCACTGCAACTGCTACAGCAAGTACTAGCTGAGTATTTGAATGTTGAGCAGCAAGCTCATTGGCTGCTGATGTGAAAGAAACCAATCATGATTTCATTATATTAGAACCTGTGTGTTAGAACCTATGACAGAACTTTGTATTAAATGTATTGAATGTCTTTAAACATGTTTAATTAATTAAATGAAATTATTGAGTCTACAAAAATTACCAAATGCTGTAATTTTGGTAGACTCATCTCACTCATTAACACAATGGCTGCGTTCAAAATCATATACTCTCTCAGCAGTGGTGTACCGGACACCCCTGCAGCCCCCGCAATGCGTGGAGGCCCCGCCCCTTTAGTGGGCCCCGTCGCAGGACATTCTAAAAGGCATTCACAAATCTCACAGAACAAGTTTTTGCTTTGAAATATCAAGGGGAATTTGGAAAAAAAACGCAAGGTCTCTTTCTTAAACTTTTAAACTTCTTTTGATTTGAGCGCTGCATTTTTAAAATGCTGTGTCATGCTTGAGACACTGCAAAAGACACGAAACGCAAGCGCAAAGGTAGTGCAGTGGAGTGGAAAAGCGTGTGAAAGACTCTTAACGTGGCTTAATGTTCTAAAACAACAACCAGGGAAAATCAATTTTCTCTCACATTTCACTTGTCATAAACAATATACTTCTAAAACGGCACCGTAATCGGAGTGGATATTTTTACGTTTAAAGTAGCTTATGCATTAAGACAGTGGAATTAAAACATCAAACTCTGCAGAAGAGCCCAGAATATGAATGCAACGAGCAAAGTTTTACGTTAAACGTTTAAAAAGTGGTAACATGCAATTGTTATATTAAAGAGCTATTTCTACCTGTTCTTACCCTTAAATTTAGTTTTGTTGGTGTAACCTAATATATTTATAATATTAAATAACATTTTTAAATAAAATTAATTGATTTAGATGTTACCACACGAAGCACATTTTTAGATTATCATTACGCTTAATGTGGCTGAATGCATTAACACATTAGAAGACCAAATTCAGTAGCTACACCTTGATGATGCAAACAATGTTTTTGTGCCCTGGTCCGCTGCTGCGCTTCTCTGACAATGTTTGTCTGACCTGTTTTAAATGGCAAATGCTTCAGCGGTTCGGTACACTGACGACTTGTAAGCAGACTTTGCCATACAATTGCTGTCGTTCGTTCTAAACATTGAAAGTGATCAAGACATTTCTCCGGAGCACAATGTTACAAGAAAGACTGTCCAGACTGTGCTCTTCTGAGTATTGAGAATGCCCGTGCTCACAACACCGACATTAAAGCTGCAGTGAAAGACTGTAGCACCAAAACGCTCGGAGAGCGCAAAGGATTCGTTTTTGTTTTGAGTTCGGTTTTGAGTTTTTGCTTGGTTTTTTTTGTTGTTTTTTTTGTGGTAGTCAGTTGATAAAAAGAATAAGTTGATCTTCAAAAGTTGGTATGTTAAGATATGTAGAAAGTTGTTTGTGAATGTTTGTGTATTATTATTGTTGAAGGATCCTCCTACTATTGCTAAAATAACAATCAAACCAGAGCAGCGGCACTTTTGCCTCCATGTTAGACTAAATATTTATTCCTTCAGGGATTTCAGTCTGACTGAAAAGCGATATCAAAATAACTACGCACATTATATAGCCTTATTCAATAATAACATCAAATGCACCAATGCAGTGATAATTCATCATATTCATTACTGTTAAATCAGTAATGTAAATGGGGGAGACGGACTCAGTAGTATGTTGCAGCGGGTGCAAAATAAATTTTCATACATGTCATTACTGCTGGTGGGAGGGGCCCCATCTCGTTAATTGGGCTCACAGATGTGTGGTACGCCACTGTCTCTCAGTAAGTACTTCTTTGAAATAAGTACCTGCTTTGTGACTTCAAAAGTATGTTCTATAAACGTGTGTAGCATGTATGTAATCCAGACATAACTCAGTGTCATGTTGTCACTGTAATGTTACGTACAATTTAAGTTTTGACTCATGAGATTGAGATAGTAAAGATAAAACCGAATGAGATAGTAGAATGACCCAGTCATAAAGACAGTTACATATCGCCACCTACTGGTGTGACAATGTAACCTGCAGAAAGCGTCACTGAAAATCCCCACCACTAATGCACAGACTGACAATCTGAAAAGAGAAAATGAAAAGAAGTGGAGCATAACAAAAAGGAAAAAGCCGAGGACTAGAATTAACTGTATGGGGTACAATATAATAACAAAAATCCAAATGATTTTGTTTTATGAAGCGTACAAACATACGCATGAGATCAACAAACGGTTCCCCTGAAACCCTCTCACACTGGCACTGGGCCACTGCACCACCCTCTTGGTCCCTGGAAAGTATCTTTTTTCCACTAGGCTGCTTTTTATAGCCTAACAAAATCAAACATCCCTTTAGCTGACATGTTCTTTTGTCTTTGAGTCAAACACAAAGTATAGGGCTACATGCCTTTCTAGATATCTCAAATTCACTGTTTTATTGACTGTGACAACCCCCTCCCCCTAGCAGAAACCATTTTTCTGGGTGAATCCCCTCGTGTTTGGAGTGCAGACGCAGATGAAGGCAGTAAACACTCGGTAGGCCCTCGTCGCGCTGGATAACAGTCTGACAGCAGGGGCAGATGTACCCTGTGGACTCCCTGCGAGGGATCCACCCTTACCTCCCCCTTTATCTCATTCTCCTCTCTGCTCAGTCTGTGCAAAGTGATAAATGCCCTGCTTTTGTGCACGCACACACACACACACACACATTTGGGAGAGGATTTCATCTCTTCTAGCTCTGGTCTCCAGTGGGCTGCAGTGTTAGTTAAGGAGGAGGTGATGGAACTGCTGCCCTGAACACATTACAGTCGTCTCAAGAACAATCTCCTAAATATATCCACGATCCAGAGCCACCAGTATACTGTATCCTCAATAGAAAGAGAGACATAAATTGATGCTAAATTAATAGGATGCAGATACCTGGATCTGTCCCAGATTTGTTAACCCATAATATTTACATGTACACTTAATCATGTACTTAACTTACATTTCTACTTGAATTCAGCATAAAATCAGAATTGACACTATTTACTTTTTAAACACATCTGTGCAACCAATAAAATAAGACAATCAAAATGTAATAACTTGATCTGATGTCACCGAGACCTCTCTTGTTTCCTGCGGTTTGGTCAAAAGTCAAATCAATACTAAACGACAAAAATTACAAATAGTCCTGCCCTGAAACTCGTGCTATTCGTTAAACCAGAAGTTGACATGTTGGTCCAATTGTCACAGTGTTTGCATTGTTTGTGACATCTGTTCTTTTGGCAAAAATGGGACCCACAGGGCATTAACAGTTTCTATAAGCTTTGGATAGTTTATTATGTTTCAGCGAAATCTAAGAATTGCATCTCCTTCTCCCATAATGCAATTTTTCATTAACCTCCTTAGTCACCCATTATGTGTTAAGCCCAGTGAAGAAAATAAGGCATCATTTTGCGATGACTGAATTAGAGTACAACTGGGGTTGAATATTGACATATTTCTGAGTGGATGACTGCTGGATAAATCAATATCATAATTACTGAATTCTCAAACAGGAAAAATCCTTTAGTACAGCGAAGTAGTTGGATAAAAGGAAAACTATATTATACAATATTTACCTGGGTCGTTTGATTAACTGCAATTAATTCATGTAAAATAATTTTAATTCATGAATTATGACTGATCCAGACTTGGATTATTTTAATAAGTGCCACAGATCATTATTTAGGAGCACAACCGCCAGGTCATGGAACCGACAAGTCAAGGCAATGTGTAATTTACAGCGTTCAATTACACTTTTCCTCAAATGCCCTATGCCAGGAATAAACTTCTTTGCATTTCCAACCTTTGAATCAGCTGCCAGAAAACAACAGGGGTAAGACATGCTTTCTAAGATTTTCTCAAAAGGCAAGGAGGGGCCTTGCAATTTTTTATGCGGTCTTCTCCCAAACATTATAAAATTGTAGAAAAATGGCGGGGGCGGGAGAATGTAATTCAATGTATCTTGGGCAGCTGCCAAAAATTGCCCTGTATACTCTGAAAGAAGAAGAAATGACAAAAAGATCCTGCCTGGGATCAATCTAATGATTCCCAGGAGAGAAGACCACAGTATCAACATAACAAAACATTTGACATTTATCAGCTGCCCCCCAGCTGCAGCAGCAGGTCACCTCTGGACACGTTCCACTTCCACAGTGTGAAATCATGTATATAGGAGGGTATATTCCTGTGGGTCTATATTGGCTTCCTTCATTCTCACACCTTCAACAACAGCTCCATCAAACATTCGATGAGGCCAAGACTCCAAAATCCTACCTAAACCCCCTACCTTGTCAACTGCATTTGGCGAGATATGAAACTCCATCTTCCAACACATAATCCTCCTCCTTTGTGCCAGGAGTTCCCACTTCCACTGGGGAAGCTATGGCTGCCAAATTACAACAGAGCTTGACCTTATTTTTTTTCCTTCACATACTAGAGCCAATAGATTAAGACTCGCTTTTCCTTATGCTTGGGGAGACAGCATGGGGAGAAGGGGACACGAATGGGAGGAATCGCATCACTCAATACCTTTTGGAGATTTTGGACCTTCCTCATTCAAGTAAATATGTCAGGGGTTTCCATTCCTGCTCCTGGAGTGCAGCTTTCCAGCAGAGTTTAGCTCCAACCCTAATTAAGCACACCTGAACCAGTCAATCAAGGTCTTGAGGATCACTAGCAGCATCCAAAATCGCATCCTGTCTAACATAGGCGTGTACAGTTGAATGAAATTCAGACGTACAACATCCGCCATGCTGTCACTGTCCCGTGACCTACCAGTGTCAGTTGCTTCACTGCCATTCACAACTCCTCTCCTGTAGCTTCACGGGATAGTAAAGTGTTCAGCAGATGCACACTTCAACTACTAATTTCCGGTCATACTGCTCTTTTGGCATGCATTTTATATAGTATGGAAGTAGGCATATTTGGACGCAGTGACTAGAAACCTCTAAGCATATGTGTTGGAGCTAAACTCTGTAGGAAAGTGGCCTTCCAGGAAGAGGATTGGACACTCTTGACTAAGGTGTCCAAGCTGACCAAGGGGCATCGCAAAAAGGTTTTTCTTTAAACGGACTCTGCTTACCCTCAGAGTTGTGATGGTGGTTGGGTCCCGTATCCTGCCTTCTTCATCCTTCAGATTGTAGCCCTCTGGTCGTTTGTCTCGCTCGCTGATTTTCCATAGCTTCACAGTTTTATCTGGGAAAAGAGATATGAGTGACAATGTGTAAGGTGGAAGCAGTGTTTGTGGTGTTAGGAGCAGAGAAAAACTCAGCAGATCCACTGGAAAGGGGCCAGTAATGAGAGCGAACGTAGCTGGCACAACAAAACAGACATGAGTTAAATCAGCTAAGATCAATTCCGTCCAATTAACCTGATTGAACCTTGCTGTTGCCTGTATGCCGAACCGCTCTGAAGTGTCCTAAAAGAGGACTATAGCTTCATGAGAGCCATCCTTCTCTGGAAAACTGATGAATGTGAGTTTGTGTCTGAAGAACTGGCTACTTTTAATTGGCTGCAGTTACTCTGCCAAAAGAAACACAGCAGAAATCTCTAGCAGCCTAACTGTAAACTAGGGATGTTCATTTTGGTTATTTTTCCTAACCTACAACCAACGCTCGTTAACCGATTGTTAACCGTTAACCGAAAAGATTATTTTAAATTAGAATTGAATTAAATTAGAAAGGATAAGTGTCTGTGACCCATTAAAAAATACTAGCATTTGTTTTCCGGGGATTAATTTTACATACGCAAAAAGCAGCAAACAACAGAACACGAGGATTCACGTGGTCATCATATCACATCACGCACCTGCAGCGCTTCTGCCAGCAGGTATCATTTCAGTTCTCAGATTTCTGCCTACTAGTAATTATTAAAATAAAAATAAATATACAGACACTCACTACTCATTGAGAAATATTAAAAACCTGCTGAATGTGTGTTATTGCACTTTGAATTATGAAGCAGGCCAAGCTGGTTTATGCTGATTATTGCTGGTTTACCAGCAACGGTGAACCAGCAAAGCCATGCTGTTAACCAGAAAACATAGCTTTCTTAGCTTAGAATAATGACTGTTCACTATTATCTTTTCAGAGGTGCTTTACAGTAGAATTTATACAGTAGAATGCGATTGTCAAGTGCATCTCGTCAGTAAAGCCGGTTCCGTGATTGGTAGTAAATCTCCATCACCTGCTTTCAGATGGAGCGGCATTTACTACACGAGTCGTAGTTCACTGACAAGCTAGGCAATATCGCGTTCATAATCGAACGCGATTCATCTGCGATTATGAACGCGATATTGCCTAGCTTGTCAGTGATCTACGGCTCTGTGTAGTAAATGCCGCTCCATCTGAAAGCAGGTGATGGAGATTTACTACCAATCACGGAATCGGCTTTACTGACGAGATGCGCATGACAATCGCATGTGATTAATTGCACAGCTCCATAATAAACCGTAATATTGTGAATTATTTCAGTTTAAAATAACTGTTTTCTGTTTTAATATATGTATTCCTGTGATGCTAAACTGAATTGCAGCCATTTACTCCAGTCTTTACATGATCTCTCAGAAATCATTCTAACATGCTGATTTGCTGCTCAAGAAACATTTCCTATTGAATGAATGAATGTTGAAAACAGTTGTGCTGCTTAATGTTTTTAGTAGAAACCATTATATATATTGCAAATGTTGCTATATGAAATTTTTACCCAAATTTCACTCTACCACAATGAAAAACAGCATATATCTTAGCATATTATTGCAATATGTTTTTTTTTGTTTTTCTGAATAGTGAGGAAGTTTACATTTATTCATTTGGCAGATGCTTAAGGAAAGTTCTATGCAACTCCACAGATGTTTAGTAAAGACATCAGCACAGTAACATCCAAAACACATATGCTAGTGACCAGCAAGTCTTTTCAAAAGAAGCATTTGATCAGATATGAAGAGATCACATTGGGTTTGCTCACCGTTGGTGGACAGGAGGAAATAGGCGGCATTCTGTTGCGGCAGCCAGCGGATTTTGTTGATCTTCTCCTCAATCTCCAGGCTTTTCAAGTAGTCAAACTCGGGCTCGTGGCTCTGAAAGGTGCTGTAAACATTGTACTCCCCCCGACGATGAGGCTGGTTCTTACTCTGCAATGATGTAAGTGTTTATGGTTCAAACCAAGACAAAAAAAATAGACCTTTATATATATATTTGGTGCATTGCTTTGTTTCACTGCCTATTTTTATAGTTTATTTCACTGCCTATTTCATGTATATCATGCATGACAAATGCATCCCACATTAGCAGAGGATCGCATTTACAATTCATACAGCACTCTACATTAAAATGCTTGAACCTAATTATACATATAGCACATAATTAGAAGCAGCAAACAAATGATAATTGGAAATTTCAGCATAAACATTGGCTTATATAAAGTCCCTCTGTGTTAAAGTCACATATGGAATGTCTGTTGATTTTTTTCTTTGTTGCTGAAAGCCGTGAAATAATATAAGTGAGGCAGGTCAGGATCTCAATGCACAAAGGTGGTCCGGGTTAGAGGAATACCGATCAGAGCGTGGAAACCTTCAGGGTCACTTCTCACCTTGGGAAGCGTCTAAATCAATAAGCAGAACTCAGACAGACCGAGAGAGGACGAGGGTATTAATGGAAACAGATTTCCCCTTGGCGGGAGGGAGGGGGTTAAAGGGGGTCTGAACCAGAGTGGGGCGTGAATCATGGAGCGAGGATTAACAGACACCATGAAATCTCTTTAAAGATGATGCGAGTGTGAGATGAGGTGCGGACGGCGGGGTTTTCACACTTTTGTGCTGCTAGACAAAACATTAAGGGGTTTTTAGATCTGAAACAGTTCATGACCAACTCACAAAAACACAAATTTAGTCAATAGACTAGAGGATAAACTGTCAATTTAGGATGAGTATGTGTACTACCAAATTTACAACTGTATTCACAGTCCTACTATGGCAATGATATATTGGGTGTGAATTTACCCTATATTAGGCCTGGGCGATAAAACGGTATCGATATTTATCGACGGTACACCTTCTTCGATAACGATATAAAAAATGTTCGATAATACAGTGGTTAAATGTAAACATTTTTTTCTATTGCTCTTTGTTTTAAAAAAGGTTATAAAAAATGTCAATAATTATCGATACCGAACGATATGAAACATTATATCGTTGATACATTCTTTAGCTATATCGCCCAGCCCTACCCTATATGCAATTTTACAATATTTTTACACTTTTTTTTTCATAAAAACAGATATAAATTTTCTACCCTGAATTTAGCCTCTGATTTGAACGCTCCATTGGAAGGGGCGTGTCTGTTGAGACTTCAATGTAAACGCCCACTGCTATGATTAGCTAAAATCTTTGCATATGAAATGAGCATTACATGTGAACTCACTTGAAAACTTTTACTGTGTTTTTACTATAACAGCCACCAAGAATAACTGATAGTAAAAAAGTGTTGATTATAGCATTACATTTAGATCTAGCAGCGTTGCACTGTAGCTGAACACCGTCACGTCTGCTGACCACACAATGCAATGAGTAAAAATACTTTCAACATAACTAACACACTAAAAATGTGATGTAAATTAATTAAATTAAATTCATGCATTTAGCAGACGCTTTTATCCAAAGCAACTTACAGTGCATTCAGGCTATACATTTTTTATCAGTATGCGTGTTTCCTGGGAATTGAACCCACAACCTTTGTGCTGCTAACGCAATGCTCTACCACTGAGCCACAGGAACATTATAAGTAAATAAGGACTCGTTGAGCAGTGTAAACTGTCATTGATTATATGAGCCCATAATTTTTTTGCACCCAAAAAGGTCTTTCTTTATGTAACAGCAGTAACGCTCTTGTGATTGACAGACAAACGTGAGTTGTTCAGACTCGAGCCTCCTTGATTACATACATCGATGGCGCATGTTAAGGGGACTGTCAAGAGGAAAACATGACGTCACAATTCTCCCGATTTCAAATCTGGGACTTTCAGAATAATTCATATTTTAAACTGAGGAGTTTTGAGTAACCTCTTATGTGTGCTAATATCAAGAACATTTTGATTCTCCATTTCATGACCCCATTAACATTCATATTCTGATTTTATGGGAAGCCTCGTAGTAGTAGTAATACTCTTCAGATTTTGGAGAATGCAATGTCTAAGCCAGATTACCTCCTGTTCCCTCTGGAAGACCACCACTCGTCCACCTTTGTCCCCAGTGGCCAGGAGTTCTCCTGTCGAGTTGAACTCAACCGTGGATATGATGTCAGCTGTAAGAGATGCAAAGAAGACGATATATTAGAGCTTCAAGAATTTCCATTTAATAATCTACATTGAGACAATGAGATGTTATTTTATTTTATAAATATTTTGACGTATTTATGATATCTCTGAATCTCTGAAGCATGTTTTTGTTTTAAACAGTAAACCTCTGTTGTTCAGCACTTTTACCAAAAAAAAGAAAATAACTGTTAGAATTTCATTTGATCATTTGTATTAAATCATAAAACAGAATACAGAAAAATTAAAACAGACAGCAAAATTCCTAAAATAAACAAACAAACAAATACATTTTATAGAGCATTATTATTGTTACATTTTGTTGTGAATTCAATTGATTAGACATCCTTTTTGAGTATTACAATTAAACCATTCAATAGAATGCATAAAAAAATAAAACAAAAAACACAGAATTTGGGAAAAAATAAAACAGATTTCAACTAGACAGTTCCGACCATCTCATGTCAAATGTGATGAACCACTTACGCACTCTTGATATGCTCTCCCTGTCTATCACCATTCCACTGATATGTAAATATCACCAGATATCACCCACTACCATTATCCCACCAAATATCATCTTCAAAAGCCAGAAAGATCTGGAGACCTTTGAAAGGACATGTGAAGCAAACACTGAGAAATTCTAGGCTGACAAAGAGATTGTACTGGACAAGCAGCAGATATCATCATGGCCAAACGTAACACTCTCCCTGGGATGAATGCATGACATCAGATACCAGGAGATTTCAGGCCATGACCATCAACATCAATTCAAGATGCACTTGTATGAAGGACATCATCAAAGAGTAGGCACACAAAGGCATAAACTCTCACTCTGGTCTGCATACAAAAAACACAGATAAAGATGATGACATGTAGTGGACTGACTGCTTTAAGACAGACTGTACTGCATTTGGATCAGAATGAGTAAAGAAGCACTCTACACAGTAAAGACACATACATCAGATTGTTATTAAACACAATCATTAAAATATTTATATAATATAAATACATTTACATCTTGAAAATATGTATTTTCTATTAAGTAGACATAAATGTATCCAACTACTATTAGACAAATGTTAGATGTATAAACCTTTGAAATTAAAAAAAAAAAACTTCCTTCCTTACTATAAACTAGACTGTCAATACAACAAATCCATAATAAATGTCACGATCTCCGAAAGCATAATGAAACTAATAACATAAACCTGGGTAAATGGGGTAATAAAACAATTGTGTAAAACATGTTTTTTATTAATATCTTATCACATTAAAGGGATAGTTCACCCAAAAATGAAAATTCTTGCGTTTACTCACCCTCAGGTAGTTCCAAACTGAACACAAAAGAAGATATTTTGAAGAATATTGGTAACCAAACAGTTGACGTCGGTAGCTATTGACTTTCATATTATGTAAAAAAAAAAAAAAAGCTTTAGTAGTCAATGGCTACCGTCAACTGTTTGGAAATGTCATTTTTGGGTAAAATATCCCTTTAACTTTGAGGATTCTAAATTGATAAAAATATAATAATAATTGTAAAACTATGTGGTTTCTAGGGTGCCCTAGGTGGTTGCTAGGTCCCACGTATTTAACATACTGTAAGTCTACAACTGTTTTATCATTCATTAGGTAAAACTGTCAAATCATTTAGTAAAACCTATGCTCACTGGAAAAACGTGCCTCTACCTACATTTTTGCAAAATTGTACTTGCTTACTGATACAGCATTGCACTTGCGATGCGACACACTCAAGTACGGTTCCTGTGAAACACAAGTCATGATGAAAGAGCTCAAAGACTTGTGGAAGCAAGCTAAAATGGCATGGTTGCATCAGCAAATGTGTTTTTATCTCATTCTGAGTTTTTATCTCAGCTTTTGCTTTTGAACACTATTGGTTGGGTTTAGGGTAGAGTTAAGTGAAGGTGGTACATTATTTTCAGACGTGATAGAGCATTCACTTTTTAGCGCCACTCACTGGACATTTCATTTCTGAATTCCCGCGACACATACAACAACCAACTTAATAAAACGTAATCAAATTTTGGATAAAACTGAACGCACTTGACACCTCACTTTCAAAGTGCACCAAAACATGCAAGAAGGAACGTAACATCATTTTGCAGAAATGTCACCACCACAGGCACATTTTTACAATGAGCCTGGGTTGGTAATAGTACACCTCTCTTCAAAAAGTCACACAATTCGAGGTGCTGTAGCACAAATTTTGCAGGATGATTTGACCACTGCAGTTTTTACTTAGTGGTTTGTCTTTAGCCAAGCATCACCAACACATTTAATAAGCAATTATCAAATTAAATCATCTACTTAATTATCTGTATATATTTAAAGCAGTCCATAGCAGCCTTACTGGTGAACATCTCTTTCTCTTCCCAACATGTTCTGAACTGGAAGTGACCCAGAGGCTCCCATTGTGGGATGACACTGTGTCTAATCGCCAGCCCACCGCCAAAAGAAAGTGGGCCAGGGTGGGACGCTTAATTAAAGCAGTGCTACTAACAGACAACCCAAAGTAGCAGCAAATCCGCTTCCTTTCAGATTGTCTGCTTTATCTCAAACATTTATGCTCATCATTTGACATGTCTGTGCTGTCTTCTAAATGTTTATTTCTGTGCAAGCAGAAGACTTCGATGTTAAACGTTGCATTATTCAAATCGGAGCTTCACAGAAAACAAAAACGGTTTGGCTTTGTGTACATGCTGTTCTTGCAGCAGTCGGGTGTTGTTTACCTCCAGCTATCTAGGTTTTCTGGATATTTCTAGGCACTCTCATCTTACCCAGCGCCAAGATCACAAAATAACCTGTAAATTCAAAGCTCTTTCTGACCTAGCTAGTGCACAACAACAGTTTTAAGACCGTAAGCACCCTACCTTGCTTCTACATAACTGTAGCCTAGACATTCTTGAATGGTAAAAGACGTTACAGTTCAAAGTTCATTAGCAAACGCTGCTCTGACTCCCTTCTGCTGTGTGCGTCCCGATCGATTCCTACCTTTGACACATCTTCCTTGGTCTTCCTCAAGGAGATGCATCTGTTTCTCTGTCTTTGAGATGTACTGTTGCTATGCAATCCTTACAGCGAAAAGAAAGGGTTGTTTCTGCTGCGATAAGCACAGTTTTCCGTCTCTCTCTCCCTCTCTATCAAGCAGGTAACTCTATTTCATGGAACGTATCATCTCACAATTCGCCAGCTCTCCCCACACAACCTCAAAATGAGTCCAGCACTCCCGAAATAGTCTGCTTGGATTCATTTGCATAAATCCCAAACAAACACAGAAGAAATTACTTCTAAATATTTGCTTTTATCCATTTCAAGGAGTGTATGACAGAGAGAAGCTAGACACGGAGAGATGGAGAAAGAGAGAGAGACTAAGAAAAGAAAGAGGGACTGAAAAGGCTTGTTGTTTTTTCACCCCGATACACCTCTCTGGGCTTTTATATTGTCTGCATGGTGAATTTAAGTGCAGCGTTTCCATGACAACCGTTCTTTGGACTAAAACAAGCGCTGTGTGCGATTCTTGTAAAGACTTTGTTCATGTGGTGTGAACTGGCGTGGCACTGACAGAATTTAGAGCAGTCGGGTAAATCTTACGGAGAGTACGGGTCATATTCCATCTCAAATTCAAAACAAAGAAATTCAAAATGAGATTTTTCCTAAAGAAAACAAAGCTTTTTGAGGATCAGTAAGATTTTGTGCATCATGACAATGCATCCCCGCCCAATTTGCATTACTACAGTTGAATTAAATACTAATACACTGTTTACAATGTTTAATTCATGCCAGTTTAAATAAAAATATGTATAGCCACATTTACTGTAATATAGTAAAATACTGAATTACAATAAGAGAATCTAATAAAACAATAAAAAGTAAAAATGAAATAAAAAATAAATAAAAAGCAGTAAAAAATTGAATATAAATAAAAATGTCCGATTTCTGAATAAGCTGATTCTTTTCAAGAACCTGTCGAATCTGAAAATGAGCCAAGAACCGAGATAACTGTCGAAGCTTGAGTGTTATAAGTTATAAGAGTAAATTACTAATATATGCAAATGTATGAATTCTTTAGGAGATGCATCATCTCGTTTTCAAGGGGTTCCTAATACACAAAAATTAGATAACATAACACAAAACAAACAACAACAATCACATCATGAACAACAAAACAACAAACACCCCACTACAATATTAACACATGAAATATTAATATTTACCTAGCACTTATAGATAGAAACATAAATATATCATCTAAAGCAGTTACAAGAAGTTTCGAAATTAGAAAGTAAACAATTTTTAAACATATAAAATGAAGTCAAAAGTCGTACATTTAAAGATAGATTATTCCAATCTGCAGGAGCCTTATATCTAAATGCTTTTTTCCCCAAGATGCCCTGGGGTTAAGCAGATAAACATCAAATTTTCATTTTTGGGTGAACTATCCCTTTAACTAAAGAAGTAAGAAAAAATAATGTGCAGAATGTCTTAATTCATATGAAGAATATAATATCAAATACAGAAGCAAATAATTAAGATAATTAAAATGTATACATTTGAAAATAAATTGCAGCCAGTGAATATGCCTTCTAATGTAGAGTGAAGACCATTTAATAAATCATAACATAATACAATGGTGTCTATCAAATGAACATCCAATAACAAATCTACACGATTTATTATAGGCTGTAGTGAGAGGCAAGAGATTTTAGTTGTATTCTGATAAACTACATCAGCATAGTCAAAAAACGGTAATATAAGTTGCAAAACAAGTTTTTTCCGAACTTTGAAAGTAAAACAATTTTTAGATTGATAATTTGATACAATACACTGGTTCCGAAATTAATCTTATGAAGTATATAGTCAATGTGAGGTTTAAAAGAAAGTTCAGGATCCAGCCATAAGCCCTGATATTTAATTTGATCCACTCTGCTGTCATAGTAGTTTCAAAGATATAAAACTAGTATATTTGCAT